GATCCCTGTTTCCCTTTCCCAGGCAGCTCCATGCCTTTGGAATTCTGCACAAGGAGGATTGGAGCAGCGCCTGCCACACTTCTGTGCACCTCCACTCCAGCACGATGATGCAATTCCCAGGGAATTTGGATCAGCCCCGTTTTGATCAGCTTAGGTTGAGTTTTCCATTTGTTCAAGAGCTCAGGGAAGTGTGAGGGGAATTCTTCCAATCCGGTGTTTACCGTGCCTGGCCCATCTGGGTTTTGGGAAGTGCTTGGTTCAATTCAGAGTTTAAAGACTGAGAAATTGAACCTGATGGTGGCAAAAACCTCTGTGGGAAACATCTTTCCCTAATTATTTTCAGGTTGATTAAGAGACTTTAACCGCGTAGCAGCACCCATGACTTCAGCTTGAGTTAAAGATTGGTTAATCTGGTGACTCCTCGTAATTTCATCAACCCAAATGGAAAATTTTGGGATATTTTTTCCTTTTCTTGTAAAACAGTGAAGAGATTCTTCTTGTTGAGCTTCCCAATGTTAAATCTTTATAGATTTAGGTTTGTTTTTGTGTGGTATTTGAAATTGTTGTGTCTGGAATGGTTTGGGATGGAAGGGACCTTAAATCCCATCCCATCCCACCCCTGCCATGGCAGGGACACCTCCCACTGTCCCAGGCTGCTCCAAGTCTCATCCAGCCTGGCCTTGGGCACTTCCAGGGATCCAGGGGCTTCTCTGGGTGACCATTCCAAGCCTTTCCCTTCCCTCCCAGCCTTCCAAGCCCCTGGATATTCCCATGGTGCTGGGAAAGAACCACCACCCCCAGCCACTCCCAGCTTTAAAAAGAGGGGGTTTTAATTCTGTTTAGAAAATTCAATATCAATTAGTCCCAGTTCAATCAGAATTGAAGCCGGAATTCTGGAGAACTTCCATGAGCACCAGGATCAGGTGGCTTTAAACTACCTGGCTAAAGGCAGGGAATTTTGGAGTTTCCCTGGAATATCTCTGCAGAATCCCTTGTCCCAACACCATATTTTTCCTGCTTTTTCTCTTTTCCAGCCCTCACGTGGCCTGCGCAAAGCCCAGCCTTATGTAACCACCCAGTCACACATTCCCGATACTGGGAATGTTCAGGGAAATCTCCCAAAAATTGGGAGCATACTTCACTCTCCTGGTAGTGCATCTGCTTTGGCTTTGCTGCAGCTGTCGGGATCTTTCCAGCACTGCCGTTGGAAAAAAAAAAATTCCGTCAGGTTCTGCAGTGGGAATTTTCCATTAATTGACCATTATGAAATGCTTTGGCAGAGGCTTTGCTGCAGTTCCATTCCCAGCTTGGATTTCTTGGAGCTTTCCCGATATTCCTGTCAAAGCCCATCCCTTGCCATAGTTCAGTGCTTGCTTGGAAGGGATTAGCTGGAGAGGGACTGGGGACAAGGGATGGAGGGACAGGAGCAAGGGAATGGCTGCCAGTGCCAGAGGGCAGGGATGGGTGGGAGATTGGGAATTGGGAATTCCTGGCTGGGAGGGTGGAGAGGGGCTGGGCTGGAATTGCCAGAGCAGCGGTGGCTGCCCCTGGATCCCTGGAAGTGTTCCAGGCCAGCTTGGATGGGGTTTGGAGCACCTGGGATACTGGAAGGTGTCCCTGCCCATGGAAGGGTCTGGAATGGGATGGGATTTAAGGTCCCTTCCAACTCAAACCATTCCCTGTTTCCAGGATCCAGCATGGACCTGTTTCAAGAGAGCAGATTGGACAAGCAGGTGATGACATCACAGCCCCTGCAATCATGGAGTGATTTGGAATCATTTATCTAAAATGACCTCTTGTTCCAAGCCCCTGCTCAAACCAGGGCCGCCTTCAAGGTCAGATTCCTCAGGACTCTGTCCAGCCAAGCTTTGGATGTCTCCAAGTATCCCATGGCCCCTCTGGACACTTGGCCGATTGCACAGGGAATTTGTTTTCCTTATGCCCAGGAGAAATTTCTCTTGGTGCGGCCTGAACCTCACGGTCCTTTCCTCTGCACCTCCAAGAAGAGCTTTTCACCTTCCCTAGAACTTTCTGGTGGCAAGCTGAAGACAGAAATTCCATCTGCTCTTCATCCCAGCTTCTCCTTTGTCTTCGTCTTCCCCAGGAGTCTCTGGTTGGCTTTTGAAGGCAGAAATTGGATTTTCCCCTTCATCCAACCACCTCCAGGTTGGCCAAACCCAGCTCCCTCAGGATCTGGATGGCCTCCTGTCACCTTGGTGGCCTTCCCTGCATTGTTCCAGTTTATCCATGTCTGGAGCTGGACAGGGCACTCAGGAATTTGTCTCGCAGGGATGGGTTGGACAAGAAGGAATTTTCCCCTGGATACAGCTCTGCTGCTCTTGCAGCCAGGGATGGACAGGGTTTCAGTCCTGGTTCCAGATTTTAAGGGATTTCCTGTGCCTTGTCTTGAGTAACTCCATGAAAATGAAGCTGAGCCCAGATTTGGACCCCTCAGGTCTTTTATCCAAGGATTCACCTTCATCCGAGGGTCAGAGATTGGAAGAGCATCCCTGGGCTTGGTGATGGACCTCATGGCTCCTTGTTTGCCATCCAGGGATGTGCTTTAATAGGGATAACCTGTGAGTCAATGTGGGAGACGTTCTGCTCTCCGTCAAAACTCAGGAGTTTGACCCTAAAAATTGCAGCAAGTTTAATTTTCTCCTTTTTACTTTCAACCTCATGAGGAGAAAACAGAATTTCTGAGCACTCTCAACCCTTTTCAAGCACTACCGTGATTTCAAATAACCTTTTGAACAAAACTGAAGTCTCATTTGGAAATGCCATCCTAATTTGGAGCAGCAGATCCATAATTTTCTTCTGTGATCTTAAACTGAATGATTTGGAAGAGGGGACGAAGGTAACATTTATTTAAAACCCATGCCCCATTATGAGATGTTATTGCTGGAATTGTCGGGAATTTTGGAAGAGTTTTTCTTTCCAATTAATCAAGAGACTCTCCAGCTTCAGTCTTCTTATGCAAATAGAAATGGGGCAGCTCAAGATGAATTTTTAGTCCTAAGATGAATTTTTAGTCTTCAGGCTTGGCCTTTTTTTCTTGAAATTGCTTTTCAACATGGAATTTTCATGTGTTCTAATCTACTTAATTTATTAACAAAGTTCTTCCTTAAGAATTCCATGGATTGTCAAGCTCTGGAAGAGGCTGCTCAGGGAAGGGACGGAGTTAGCACCACTGGAAATGTTCCACCAATTATGAAAGTGGCTCATGAGGACACGGTTTAGTGGTGAATAGGGTGGCGGTTGATGGTTGGATTTGGTGATCTCAGGGGGCTTTTCCAACCTCAACAATTCCAGGATTCTCCACCTTTACAGAGGGATTTGAGGGTGCCTTTGACTGGTTCCTTTTGGTCACTTGAAGATTTGAGAACTTTGTTCTCCGTTTCACTGAAATTTGACCTCAAATAAACCTGATGAACCAACATTTTGATAGTTACTCACACCAGACTTTGCAAAAATAGGGTTAAATTTGTGGACAAAGGAATAATTAACCCCTACCCAAAGGGTTTTAAGGAATTTTAAGGAGCAAGCAGTGCTAAGAAGGTTCTGGAATGGCTGCAGCCAAGGCTGAGCTGCACATGGAACGTTGTGTTCCTGGAATGCTGAGTCCAGGATTCCAGCACAAAAAATCCCATGGAATTGTTGGAGAGGAGATCACAGGAATGCTCTGAGGGCTGGAGCCCCTCTGGAGCCAGGCTGGGAGAGCTGGGAATGTTCCCCTGGAGAGGAGAAGGCTCCAGGGAGAGCTGAGGGCTCTTGAAGGGGCTCCAGGAGAGCTGGAGAGGGACAAGGGTTGGAGGGACAGGAGCCAGGGAATGGCTCCCAGTGCCAGAGGGCAGGGATGGGTGGGAGATTGGGAATTGGGAATTCCTGGCTGGGCTGGAATTGCCAGAGCAGCTGGGGCTGCCCCTGGATCCCCAGGTTGGACACTGGGCTGGGAGCAGCCTGGGGCAGTGGAAATGTCCCTGCCATGGCAGGGATGGACTCCAAGGTTCTTCCCCCTACAATTGTTGGTTTCCAGGGATGGAAGGACAGGAGAAGGGGGAATAACTTCCCACTGCCAGAGATCCAGGATTGATGGGATATTGGGAAGGAATTCCTGGCTGTGAGAGGGGTCATTTGGAAGTTGTGTGTTTTTAACCAGTACTTAGGAAAAACATCCCTTGCTTTCCTTGTTTTTCTTTGTTCCATTTCTTTCCTTCCCCAATAAAATTATCCCTCCAGACAAAGCTCAGAAAAACCCCCAGACCAGGAATATTTTTTTTTTTTTTTCCTGGTGGGATAAAGCCCAAATTAATTACTTTGGTATCCTCATATTCCAAGGGCTATTGTGTTTTTATTCCTTGTGGAAGCAATTCCTCGTTGTGGGCATCTCATTTTCTTGGAGCTGCTGCAGTGGGAGTAATTATCCGATATCTGTATTTTAATCAAGAGAAATGTGTTCCAAAGCCCGGGATGAATTTACCTGCTGGAAGTTAAATGCCTGTAACTAAAAGCAGGGAATCTGCATTAAATTGCTGCCTTAAATTGCAGCTTTAAAAGCAAACAGCTGCGTGCACATGATCCATGGACTCCTGGATCCTGCCATTTGGATGCAAATCAGGCTGTCTATTTATTGCCAAAGCTTTATAATTTTGTGGAAAAGAGTTAGAAGAAACAAGGAGTAAAGCTGCGAACCAGACGAAACCGCGGTAATCATCGCACTATAATAGAAATATGATTGACATTTGCATGAGATTGGCTGTGTTGTACTGCCTAAAAATGTGAGTTTTGAAGGAGATCCAGTTGGGGAGAAGGAAATAAATCCTAAACCTGACTTTTGCTGCAAAATTCCTGAAATCTGGGGCTTTTCAAGCTGTTTTGTCTCTGTTTTACCCATGACTAGTTATGAGGCGTCGCAGGAAACTCCCGGCGCCGCGCTGTCGTCGGGTCGACTAAAGCCTGGCCTAAACTTGGTTTTCCCCGGCTTTTGTTTTTTCCCCCAGATTTGGATGATCCCATAGTCACAGTCCACCAGAGCATCGGGGAAGCCAAGGAGCAGTTTTATTATGAGAAGACCGTGTTCCTCAGGTGCGTGGCCAACTCCAACCCGCCCGTGCGCTACAGCTGGCGCCGTGGCCAGGAGGTGCTGCTGCAGGGCTCCGACAAGGGAGTGGAGATCTACGAGCCCTTCTTTACCCAGGTAGGACTGAAAAACGGGGCGATTTTTTCCCCATCTTGAGGCTTTGTGATGGGATCTGCCCGCTGGGTTTGTGGGGTGGGGATTGGGAATGGCCTCCAGGTGATGATGCCCCACCCAAACACTCCTGGGTGTTGTTAATAGGTTTACTGGTATAAAATATATTTAGATTTTTTGTAAAAAATATGAATTATTAAATGATGAGGGAGTGATATCTACAGGAGGCCTTTTAAAGTGATTTGTATTGGATCCTGCAAGCCCAGACTTTTGATTCCCATTTCCTCATCCTTCCTGATCCAACTCAGTGATTCCATGATCAGCCTAAATTACAGCCTTAAAAATCTCTTCATGTGGATTAAATTTTAGGGAAAATTTCTTTATGGAAGAGGTAGAGGCTGCCCAGAGGAGGGATGGAGTCTCCATCCCTGGAAAATGGAGATTTTTGTAAAAATATGAATTATTAAATGATGGGGGAGTGATATCTACAGGAGGCCTTTTAAAGTGATTTGTATTGGATCCTGCAAGCCCAGACTTTTGATTCCCATTTCCTCATCCTTCCTGATCCAACTCAGTGATTCCACACACAGCCTAAATTACAGCCTTAAAAATCTCTTCATGTGGATTAAATTTTAGGAAAAATTTCTTTATGGAAGAGGTACAGAAGAGGGGTGGAGTCTCCATCCCTGGAAGTGCTCAAAACCCAAGTGTGGATGTGGCACTTGAGGACATGGATTCATGGAGAACATGGTGGTGGTTGATGGTTGGAGTTAATGATCTTGGAGGGCTTTTCCAACCTTAAAAATTCCATGATTTCTGACTCTATGGGAGCTCCCCCTGATGGTTTTTCTACTCCTTTTTTTCTGCCTCTTTTATCTTTAAATATGAGGTTTCATTTAACAATTCCTCCCCTTAAAAATGAGGTGTCAAAAAAGGAAATAAAACCTTTTCCAAAGAGTTCCTGTTCCCATTCCCAGCCCTGAAGGAATCCTGGCTCTGTCAGATAAGCTGAGATTAATTTATCATGTACACATTTGCACCGAGGCAGGATGAAAAAAGGTGGCAAATCCCATTGTCTGTGGCCAAAAGTGTGGGATGGTGTTTGAAGAAAAAAAAAAATAAAAAGAAAAGGGAAAAAAAAGAGGGGAAAAATTGGTTTGGAAAATCTGAAGGAATAACAAGGAAAGACAGAGGTGAAAACTGCTTGGTAATTTGGTGTTCAGAGCAGAAAGCAACTGCGACTTTCATAAATAATTTTCAGTTAATGATTTGAGAGCACCTTCATTTGTGGCTTTTTATTGTACTTGACAGCTTTATATTGCTCCAACAGCTCCGTGTTTTCCGGAGAAATGTGGAGCCCGGAACCTTGCAGAGATGGGAATTAAATCACAGAGCCGAGTTTTTGGTGTCCTAAATGTAATGAGATTATTTTTAATTTAACATGAACGGACTCAGTTGAGCAAATCTGGGGCTTTGCTTGGACTCGAGTGTAAACTGGAGTTTTGAAATGTTTTAATTAAAAAGGGAAAGTGGATTTTTTTTTATATTTTATATTCCATTATGGAAACGCTGAGGATTGCCTTCCCTAAAATCTAAGGATTCATCTACTAAAATGTGTCACATGAAATTACGTTCTTTTTTTTAGGTTATGAAGACCATCCTTCCTAAAATCTCGGTGTGGGTTTAATTAATGAATAAATCAGATTGTCCTGGTGATATTCCAATCTTATCCATAACCTTTCTTCAGTTATTGGAGGGCAGCCGGAATTAGCGTGGCCTGGATCCATGCAGGCAAGATCTGCTCTGTGTTTATGAGAGGAAAAGATGTAATTAAAGGTTCAAGACTCATCAACATCTTCTGCTTAATTAGTTCATTTCATGGTGGGGATGCAGACAGGGAGAGCTGATGGGAAGAGGGACAGAGGGGATTTGGCTTCAGAGGACCAAGACTTGGGAATTTTGAGAGGGAATTTTTTTCCTTCAGGGCTCTGAAGGTGGATTTTAATCTGGAAGTGAAATGGAATGGAAAGGGAAACAAAATTTCTCAGGATTTTTACCGCCGAAAAAGACGTTTTATTATGATGCTTTTATTATTCTGATAAACACAGAATCCTGGAATGCTTTGGGTGGGAAGGGACCATAAACCTCATCCCTTTCCAACCCAGGAATCCCAACCCTGTCCAGCCTGTCCTTGGGCACTGCCAGGGATCCAGGGGCAGCCACAGCTGCTCTGGCAATCCCAGCCCAGCCAGGAATTCCCAATTCCCAATCTCCCACCCATCCCTGCCCTCTGGCACTGGCAGCCATTCCCTGGCTCCTGTCCCTCCATCCCTTGTCCCCAGTCCCTCTCCAGCTCTCCTGGAGCCCCTTCAGGCCCTGCCAGGGGCTCTGAGCTCTGCCTGGAGCCTTCTCCTCCCCAGGGGAACATTCCCAGCTCTCCCAGCCTGGCTCCAGCCCTGGAGCAGCTCCATGGGTTCCTCTGGATCTCTCCAGCAGCTCCAGAGCTCGGGCTGCTCTGCAGGTGAGGTCTCACCCGAGAGGGGCAGAATCCCCCCTCTTTCCCTTTTTGCCCATATTCTGGGATGATCCCAAAATCCAGTCAACAATCAAATCACAGGAGACACTTGGAAAACTGGGCAAATCCAAACAAACTCCTTAAATATGATCAGATTTTGCAGTCAATCAGGAAACATCAGGCACTTGTTCCAGCACCCGTGGGGAGAGAAACAGAGCAAACCTGCCCATCCTCATCCACAAAATGTTGGGAAAATGAACGTCCCAAATCCCAAATCTCGATGGAGATTTTTTTCTCTGAGAGTTCTCATCCTCCTCGTCACTCATTGGAATTGCTCAGCCTGAGCACGAGATTAAATTTGCTGTATTTACGATAATTATGCAATTAGACATAATTAGACTAATTATCCCAACCAATGAGGAAAATATGTACATTTTTTATAAATCTCTGCGAGCTGGGGACAGGATCCAGAATTCCATTGGGAGTTCAGCCCAAGTTCAACCTGAAGCTAAGGAAGGAATGCTGGGATGGAGCTGTCCTGAGCTTCCAGAACTCAGTGCCTTTGGCAGCCTGGAACAGGCCCTTCCCTATTCCAGAAAAACCTCCCAAAGCAGGAATTTGATCCTTAGGAGCAGCCTTTCCACAGCTTAATTTTAATCCCATCATTTCCATGGGATTGTTTGTCCATAGAAATAATTTAAATCCCAATATTCTCAAAATCTCTCCACAACTTCAAGGACTGTTTATTTTCTTTCCTGCTCTGCTGTATCTTTTTGATGTGTTTGGTTTTTTTCTCAGTTCTATACATTCATTTTCTCAAATTTCCTTATTTTTCCTAGACATTCCTGGCCACTTTATCCATATCCATGTGTTCCTAAGGCTGTGCCTTTCCAGGCCCTTCCCAATTCCAGAGAAACCTCCTGAAGCAGGAATTTGGTCTTTGGGAGCAGCTTTTCCAAGGCTTGGCCTTGCAATGGGCTTCATTTCAATCCCATCATTTCCATGGGATTGGTTGTCCATAGAAACCACCAAAATCCCAATATTCCCAAAGTCTCTCCAAGATTTCAAGGACTGTTTCTTTTCTCCCCTTCTCAGCTGTAATTTTTTATATGGATTTATTTTTTTCCCAGTTTTGTGCATTGGTTTTCTCAAACTTCCATATTTTTCCTAGACATTCCTGAGCAGTTTATCCACTGATACTGTTAAAAATAATTCCATGTCTTCCTAAGGCTGTGCCAGTAGTAAAGATGTTGTGTTTATCTGGATGCTGAAAAATGAACTTTTTCCACGTTTTTCTTTTGGGACTTTGCAGGGGGAATCTCACATTTCTCATTTCCCATTAATTTTCTTCTTTCCATTTTTGAAGGAATTCGACATTCCATGTCCCTTTCAGCTCCCTGCTCCATCCCTGTTCCCTGGCTAAAAATAGAATCCATCAGCTCCTCATTTTTAAAGGAAAACAGGAGGAATTTAGTACCTTGGGATTTTTTCTTCATGGAAATTGTACCTTATAATAAATTATCCTGAACAATTTGCAACTTGAAGGACTCCATCAAACCGATTTCCCTCTGGCTTTCCAGTGTTGATATTCCCTGTATCCTTTGGAAATCCTTTGTGGGGGGATCTCGAAGCCTTTAGGTAGAATCCCTGGAAAAGTTATTTTCATTTCGTGGAATTTCTTGTGAATTTACTCCTTTTTCTTATGGTCATCCCTTCTGGATCGGTCGGGTTGTGTCTTGTGTGTGGTATTTTCGGGGTCTTCTGTAGCAGGAAGGAAATGATGGATCTGACTCCATGTTCTTAGAAGGTTAATTTATTATTTTATGGTATTATATTATATAAAAGAATGCTAAAACTGTACTAAAGGATAGAGAAAGGATACAGGCAGAAGGTTTAACAAGATACTAAAGAAAAACTCATGACCTCTTCCAGAGTCCTGACACGGCTGGACCATGATTGGTCATCAAGTAAAAACAATTCACATGTTGGATAAATAATGTCCAACCACATTCCAAAGCAGCAAAACAGGGAGGAGTAAATGAGATAATTATTGTTTTCCTTTTTCTCTGAGGCTTCTCAGCTTCCCAGGAGAAGAAATCCCGGCAAAGGGATTTTTCAGAAAATGTGACGGTGACACCTGGAGATGTAACATCAGGGGTCAATCCCAAGAAACCCACTTGGGAATGCTGGAGGAGGATGGAAATCCCAGATCCATATCCATTTTTCCTCTGCCTCTGCCCCTTCCTGATGTTCTCTCCTCCTTTTCCAGGGAGAAACCAAGATCCTGAAGCTGAAGAATCTGCGACCTCAGGACTACGCCAACTACAGCTGCATCGCCTCGGTGCGGAATGTCTGCAGCATCCCGGATAAAATGGTGTCCTTCCGCCTCTCCAACAAAACTGGTGAGCCCCAGCACCTCCTGCCCTGGCTGCACTCAGCTCAGGAATTTGGGGCTCATTCCAGGGAATCCTGGAATGGTTTGGGTGGGAAGAACCTTGAAGTCCGTCTCATTCCCTCCCCTGCCATGGGCAGGGACATCTTCCATTATCCCAGGGTGATCCAAGCCCCAGTGTCCAGCCTGGCCTTGGGCACTGCCAGGGATTCAGGGGCAGCCACAGCTGCTCTGGGAATTCCATCCCAGCCCCTCACCTCCCTCTCAGCCAGGAATTCCTTCCTGATATCCCATCTAAATCTACCCTGTTCCAGCTTAAAGCCATTTCCCCTTGTCCCGGTCACTCCAGCTAGGAATTCCTTCCCAGTATCCCACCCAAATCTCCCTTTTTCCAGCTTAAAGCCATTCTCTGGCTCCTGTCCCTCCATCCCTTGTCCCCAGTCCCTCTCCAGCTCTCCTGGAGCCCCTTCAGGCCCTGCCAGGGGCTCTGAGCTCTCCCTGGAGCCTTCTCCTCTCCAGGGGAACATTCCCAGCTCTCCCAGCCTGGCTCCGGAGCAGAGGGGCTCCATGGATCCCTCCATCACCTCTGCAATCCCTCCAATAGTTCCTTGTCTTCCCTCTGCTGTTGAAACTTTAGAATTTTTATCCCACAAAATATTTCATGGGAAAACCCCAACCTTTCTCTACTCTGGCATTGATTGCAGGGATTGATTTGACCTTTTCCTACATCGACATTAACATCAATTCCTTCATTGATTCCAACCAAAATGTTTCCTTTCAGATTTAATTGTTCCAAATGGGAATATCTGAGGGGTTATTGGATATTTCCAATGTGTTGAAATCCTTTCGTGGGAAGGTCTCTAAGCCTTTAGGTAGAATCCATGGAAAAGTTGTTTCCATTTTGTGGAATCCTTTGTGAATTTATTCTGTTTTTGGGGGTCATTCTGTATGGATCAGTCAGTTGTGTCCCTCCCTCTCATTGTGGCTGTTAACACCAGGGGTGAATCCCAAGGAATGCACTTGGGAATGCTGGGGGAGGATGGAAATCCCAGACTTTACCTCTCCTAAAGGCTCCGTGTCCAGGATCAACACAGGATGTGTCTGAAATGGTTTCTGAACCTCCCACCAAAGAGCCAAACTGAGCTTGGATTTCTGACTAATCAGGAATTTCAGGGGAATGTGCTTTGGATAACAATTCCACAGGAAGCGTTGGGACATTTGGAGACACCAGGTTAGATTAGGGTGGGTTAGGCCTGGATAATTTGTGTCTGAGATCAGGGAGAATATGAACACAAAATTAAAATGCTGAGCATGGCTGAGATCAACAAGGAATTTTATTTCCTCTTCCATATTTCCCATCATTCCCATCCTCAGGGCTTTATTCCAAGGAGTTGCCTCCAACTTTTTTTGAATTGCTGAGTGGACAGCAGAGCTGTGGTCTCCCACTGCTGTCCACAACCCTTGGACAGCTCCAAGGAATTATGGTCTGCTCAGAAGATATCCAGGAAAATGACTTGGAAGGCCTTAATTTACACTCCCATAAATTTTTCCAGGGGAAAAAAATATCCTGAAGTGAGGTTTGAACTTCATGAGGAGCTCTGCTTTCCTGGCAGGAGAAACCTTTCCATGGGAGCTGGGGTTGGGAATTGGGAGCAACTTCTGACCCTTGTCCACCTTCATCCATGGCAAGAGAACATGGGGATTGATCCCCACTCCCTTGGGATTGGGGTTTTTTCCTTGGAATAACTTTGCTGTTGGAGCCAGCACAGTCTCAGTTTGTGTTGAGCCTCATCTTCAAAGAAATTTAGTCCCAGGACTTGGGGAGCAGCAAACTCTCACTGCCTGAGCCCAGGATGGGTGATCCTGGGGCAATTTTGCCAAAAGAAGGAATTATTTCCACCTTACACGTGCCATGGTAATTTGGGGAGAAAATTGTCTTTTTTGGGGTGATTTCCCAAGTAAACAAGCCTGGAAAATAACAAGGATTCCCTCTTTTCCACGAGGAATTCGATCACAAGCATCAAGGGGAGGATTAGATGTGCAAAGTGATTAATGCAGGAGCTCATTAAGGACAGGGACTGAGGTGGGGGTGACTCTACACCAAAACTTTGCTTATTTAATAAAACTGCACCTCAGAGAAGTTCTTCAATTGAACTTCACCTGGTGTAACTCGGGAGAAATTAGAGAAATTGTAAATCCAGAGGAATCCAGGATAAATCCAAAGTAATGAAAATCAGAGCCTGAAGTTGAAGCTGTTTCAGTCCTGTCCTGTCCATGGGATTTAACTGGAAGCTGGAGGGATGGGATGGAGAGCCAGGAATACCTGAGAGGGGCAAGGATGTCCCAGATTTATCGTCACTGCTGTGGCTCTGTGTTCAACTCAGCTGCACTTGGTGGGATCAGAACGGGGGAATTTGGCTGTTCTGCATTTGATGGAATCATGGAATGGTTTGGATTGGACCTTAAACCCCACCCAGTGCCACCCCTGCCATGGCAGGGACACCTCCCACTGTCCCAGGGTGTCCCAGTGTCCAGCCTGGCCTTGGGCACTGCCAGGGATCCAGGGGCAGCCCCAGCTGCTCTGGCAATTCCAGCCCAGCCAGGAATTCCCAATTCCCAATCTCCCACCCATCCCTGCCCTCTGGCACTGGCAGCCATTCCCTGGCTCCTGTCCCTCCATGCCTTGTCCCCAGTCCCTCTCCAGCTCTCCTGGAGCCCCTCCAGGCCCTGCCAGGGGCTCTGAGCTCTGCCTGGAGCCTTCTCCTCTCCAAGGGAGCATTCCCAGCTCTCCCAGCCTGGCTCCAGAGGGGCTCCAGCCCTGGAGCAGCTCTGTGGCCTCCTCTGGATCACTCCAGCAAATCCACAACTTTCTTGTGCTGAGCATTCCAGAGCTGGAGTTTCCCAGGTGGAGTCTCCCAAGCACAGGGCAGAGTGGGGGACAATCCCCTCTCTCCAGCTGTTCCGTGAGACCCTGGATCCTCAGCCCCCTCCTCCAATGCTGTCACCTCACTTTTCAGGCAAAAACATTTCTTTTTTTCCAGCACAGACCAGTTTAAAACACAAAACCAGCCCCCAAACCCAAAGTAGGGGCTGGAAATGGGGCAGTGGAAGCCACCCCAGAGGTGTCACCGTGCACAGGCCAAAGCCCAAGGTGACAATTAAAAACAATAATTTGGAGCAGAAGGGAGAGGGGCTCGTTGAGACTGATTTTGTGTCTGAAGGCAGCAATTAATCTGCAAATTTCTTATCTCAATATATAGGATATTTGAAGGGAAGCAGCCCCATGGCAGGGCTGGGCTGGGATGGGATTTAAGCCCCATCCATCCCAAGCTATTCCATGATTTTGGGATTCTCTCTGCCTCCACCTGGACTGTGCTTTGCTCAGGTTTCTGTGAGCAGCAACAAATTCCTCCTCGTGCAGAAATCCTTGGATCTGCTGTTCCAAACCCAGCTCAGCTGAGTGTCAAAGAGGAATTACTGACAGCTCATGGTGTCACCAGTTTTCATGGGAGGCACTAAAAAAAGGGAATTTTACCCCCAGCTCCTGCTGAATGGCACATGCGACACTCTGAGCTAAGAATAACCTGAATGGAGCTTTTCAAGAGCGTTCATTGTTTCAAAATGCCAGAGAAAAAGCAGGATATTTACCCAGAAAACCACGGGAATTCTGGGCTCCTCGGAATAGCTCCTGTAACATGATTGAGGAAAAGCAAATCAGGCTTTTATCTCGCTCCACAAAGCAGCTTGGGTGGCACTGATTCATTTGGAAATGATATTACTCTGTCTATTAGCAGCCAGTTTCGTGCAGGTGATCATTAATCCATAAATTAAGGCTGAGCTTTGGCAGCTTCCAGGAGGAAATAAACCAGCCCAGGAACTTTTCCCGAGCAAGATGAGTCTTTCAATCCGTGATTTTTCAGCTGCCTGCCACAGCCCATTGAAATCACAGCTGAAGCTGCTGCTCTGTCTGGGGCATGTGGTGGGAGACAAATTAAAAAAGGCTTAATTCACTTTTAATCCCTCGATTAGGCTGAAGCCTGTCGTGACAAACTTGCTTTGTTTCCCGTCAGTCAGACAATGCACTGCAAAGGGAATTATGGAAGGTGGAAAAAAAATATTCCTCTTCACATTTCCTGGCATTCCTGGGGGGAGGTGGGTGGGATCTGCATGGAAGGGGCTGGAAATCCTGAGGGTGCTCCGAGCTGAGCACTGCAGGTGGATGGTTTAATGGAATCCCGGAATGGTTTGGGATGGAAGGAGCTTAAATCCCACCCAGTTCCACGGGCAGGGACAACTCCCACTGCCCCAGGGTGGACACCTTCCACTGTCCCACCCTGGCCTTGGACATTTCCAGGGATCCAGGGGCAGCCACAGCTTTTCCAGGATAATTCTTTAGCAAAAAAGAATAATAGGAAATAAAGCTGGAAAGGATTCCAAGGGATCCCCCAGTCCTGTCTAAACCTTGCCCCACCAATCCCATTATCCTGGCTGCTTTTGGCTCCCTGCAGGGCTGACAGGGAATCTGGTCCTGGCTTGGAATGAGGAATGGTCCTCTTTCCCTTTCCCTCTTTCCCTTTGCAGCATGATTTTCCCTGTTGGGAGTGTGGGTGTCTTGTTTCAGGAATCCCTGAGGGAGCTGGGCAGGGGCTGCAGAATCCCTGAGGGAGCTGGGCAGGGGCTGCAGAATCCCTGAGGGAGCTGGGCAGGGGCTGCAGAATCCCTGAGGGAGCCGGGCAGGGGCTGCAGAATCCCTGAGGGAGCTGGACAGGGGCTGCAGAATCCCTGAGGGAGCTGGGCAGGGGCTGCAGAATCCCTGAGGGAGCTGGGCAGGGGCTGCAGAATCCCTGAGGGAGCTGGGCAGGGGCTGCAGAATCCCTGAGGGAGCTGGGCAGGGGCTCAGCCTGGAGCAAAGGAGGCTCAGGGGGCCCTTGTGGCTCTGCACAGCTCCTGCCAGGAGGGCACAGCTGGGGAGGTTGGGTTCCCATTTTCCATGTAAAAACCTCCAGGATC